AAATGCAGACAAGATAGGGTCCAGCATCAACGCACATTCATTCACATACACACAAAAGTAGAATGTGCTGAAACAGGCGCCACCAGGAAATAATATTACAATAGATCGTATTGGGGACTAGAAAACAGCAAACTTTTCAGATAACTGGTTGTTAATGTGGCAGAAAGAAGACTGCCGCCCTGCTGCCGTTTGTGTGCGCCTCCTCTGAGCTTTGTTCCACAGGCTGCGGACTGGTGGAGACATGTCTGAGCATTTTATGTACATTAGAAATACACACGCATTTCTAAGGACGGCAAGCAAGACTCAAAGTAAAAAAGGACATGAACTGTGGACATTGCTGCTGGACAAAAGACATGAAAAGATGGCAGGCTTTGGAGGGTAGAATAGGTCATAGATCACATGGCGAAGCATACCGACGAGGCGGGAATCAGAAAGCCAGAGCACAGCTAGACTGAAAGTCCTCTTCTCCGCAGACTGGAAGTAGCCTGCATGAGCGCCAGCACGCATTTAAGGAAATAACAGCCATAGTAGACTAGGCGGCCTAGGCGTGACAAAGAGTGAAGAGCCATTGGCAGACAGCAAGGAAAATAGTCCAGAGCGAAACCGAGCAAAACCGACTAATCAATAATCGTTATCTCCATCAGCCTCAACGTCCTCATCACTCTCCTCATTCTTCGGTGGCCCCTTGTTTTTGTCTGACGCGACATCCAAGAATTGGAAGTCCTCCGTGGTCATCTGAATGGCCCATTGAAATTTCTCCCGTTGTGTCTTGTTATACACTTTTTCTATTGGGATATTGAGTTTTCTGCACCTAGAAGATGTTAGAAGAATATAAGAAAATGGTTAACGTTGAAAATAGAAGTAACTCACAGCTAGAAGGCAATGCTAAGCCAACAAAGATTGGATAAAAACATGTAGAAAAAGAAGACTAAAAAGGGTCAAAGTAAGTGAGAACTATAGACCCTAAAAGCAACCGTTTTATTCAAAGTCTAAGTGAGCCACACTTTAAAAAATAACGTAAATTAAGTTTGAACGGACTTGCTGACTGCCCATGGATACATGTATTGATTACGTGAGAATTGTCGGTATTTTTTCATAATAAAATCATACAGAAAATTGTTACGGGAAAAATAAGGGATTTTAAGTAGCTTTTTGCAATTAAATCAAACAGCTCGGATAAGGCCAAAGCACGCATACTCAACAAGATTAATCTGAGCTGCGGCAAAACAGATCACGTAAGATGACACCGAGTTATATCTACGACAAAA